TCCATAACATACATCGATTTGATTGCCCGTATGGATCGGTTCATCGGTCAGTAGACCCTAAATCAGACTCTCATTCGACAAAACCGTTTCATCAGTTGTGATGTTCTATTCAGCCTTTGAACTACGCTCTTTTCACCCGTCTAAGGCAGCTCGCTGTCAGACCATCGGTGTGATTGAACGCTCGGCTAAATCAAATTCAGTCTGTTTGATGAGATGCACTTGTTTTAGTGTGTGTGTGTGTGTGTGTGTGTGATCGGTCACACACACACACACACCGCGGAGAACTGACAGACAGACCATCAGCCACATGACGCAAAAATAAATCACCGTTTTACGCACAACTCCAGTGACGCGTGATGTTAAGTGTTTAGAAAAAAAAAAAATTAGAACGGTATCTTACTGGGTCCAGTCAGATCGGCAAAGTTTAATTACACTAAGAATAACAATAATGACAAATGCCACCGTGTGTTGTTACTTCAGCAGCCCATTGTTCCTGAATTGGGACCAAGACAATATCCGAACCGTTTGTGTGTTGAAAGCATACGCGCCGAGCAGCTTGCAACACCTAGTGCGGAATTGTTCCATATATGTTTGTCATCTGGAACGATCCCCGATTGTTGGAGGTCAGTCCGGATCAGACCAATCTCGAAGAAGGAATCGTGTGTGTGTTGCTAAAGGCTTTTGTAAATGTTTGGCTGCATCGCATGATGCTCTTTTGGAATGTCCATGATTTTTTACAATTTATCCATAAATTCTATCTGTTCACACTAGACGCTGTTGCCCATATTGTTCATTCTAATGCTTTCGTCTTAGACAATGTTGCCGGTACCGCTTGTTTAACTTTTCTTGATTGTGCAAACGCCTTCGGTTGTCTCGACCGAACAGTGCTGATTGAATGTCTTTCTGTGTGTGATTTGACACCTGAAGTCTTGAATGTACTTATGCACTACTTCTCCCCTGTAGGACCCAGTTTATTTCACTTAATGGGGCACAGTCATCTTCGATTAACGTTAAACCTGGTATTTTTTCCGGGTGTTATTTTACCCCCTTTCTTGCTTTTCTATATTTATACAGAATCTCCCCATTCCCAGCAATTTTGTTGCTTGTAAGTATGCTGATGATATATTGTGATTGGTTATCCATCTCCTAGTTTTCGACCTCTTCAGGATAGCCTTAATGAACTTCACGATTGGTCTGTGCCCCGATCTCCTGTACCTAGTATCTTATAGTAAATAATCAAAGCGTTCCCAAATTTGTTTCTGTTAAATACCTTGGTGTTATCTATCCTGGTCTGTTCATGTCATCAGCACTTTTACAAAAGTTCGTAAACTGTCTTTTGATGCGTACAAGCTCAGGAAACTAAACGTATCACATAATCCTATTTTTAAATTTGTGATTGCTTGCATTCCTCCACACACTGGCTATACTGCTCCCCTATATTTATCCCTGGTTTGCAAGAAAATATTTCAGTTTATTTTCTAGATCCCTTAAGATTTTGTCCCGCTACAATGGAGTTTATAGAGTTGTTTTGGTTGATTTCTTCATTTCCAAGCATATTGACGCTTGTGATACATTCATAGACAGGATAACACGTATGCACCGATAAATCGTTAAATCTCTGTCGAATACCTGAACGGAACTCCAATTATCAACTTCTTCCTGCGCGTATTTCCACAGAATACAAACAGTTTAATTTCATACCTTGTTCGGTTATTGGTTAATCTAAAGACAATTCTCACCCACCTCAGGGAAAAACTCTTGCACTAATTCTTCTCTGATTTACTGCTGTATAAAATTTGTTATATTTTCTTTTTTGTTCAGTTCAGTTCAGTTTTTACAACCATTAACCATGTACTTTCGTGCGCCGGTTTTGGTTACTGTCTTTTGGCTGCCCATTTGGATGAATAACGGGAGAAGACAGTAAGGTTGAGGGTAGAGTTGAACAGAAAATAGAGAATTCCAGTGGTCTAAGTTAGCAAAGAAGTTGAGTTGGAATGTCGAAGCAAATTCAAGCGGAAGGTGGGGAATTCGTATAGAGTGATGTTAGGAAAATTACGGGTGGATGCACTAGCGCCACTGTTTGCGACACCCAGCCATATCACTCAGTGTAGCTAACCATCGGTGACCATCATCCCGAGGTCCCCAGCCAAGGAGCCTAACGGGGCCTATGTGACCCAGTCTCCTGGTTAGGGTTTTCATACCCTCATGTCAGGTCTTAGTTTGACCACCCTTTATCTTTTTCCAATCGCTACCAGCCTTGGCAAACATCGTTCGCCGCTGCAACCTATCTGGCGACATACGTAACACATGTCTTTTTTGTTGATTGTAATCGATTTCATATATCCACTGTACAAGTTCGTNCCCTTTGGGTGCATATAAAACATTTCTTGACTTGACCTGAATGCACCACGCATTCGCATCATCACAACTGTTCTCTCTGATCAGACTATTTCTATCGGAATTCATTTCTCCTTCGAATTCATGATATGTGTAGCTTGCTAACTCAGATAGCAAACTGACTCTGACACATTTGCACAGTGAAAAACTGATTCGTTTCGCCATTTGCTTT